TCAATAATCTTACTCTATTGTCACCAGTTTTAGTTAAATATCTTGTAGAAATGATACCATAATTTTCTCTACCATTAACACTAGACTGATACTATAGAATAATGGTAAACACTGTGGCTGTCATTTCCTAAATCATATCCTCCAGTACTCAGAAAACTGGAGCTTTGTTGTTTTATAACAGCTGGTAAACAAATCTATTGTTTTCATCTTAATATTAGTTATTATGAAGTAAATCACAGAGTTTCCGTGCTGTGGCTCTACAGAAGAGATAATATGGCATTAAATGATGGCATTCAATGAAACTTTATCTAAACATGTTTGCTTTCAATCAAATACAAGCATGGAGACATCTCTGTCTCCATCTACATTCATATTCTAAATATGATCCATGACCTTGACTGGTGATGACCTGAAGGTCATTTACCACTGAGCAAGCTTTTGTCTTTCAGGAACAATATAATTATCATGTGACAAACTGTTGGGCAGGCACATGTTACTTCAGGGTGTATGCTTATTATTGGATGAGATAGCATGTATTGTAATTCTGCTGAACAGCTAAAGATACTAGTGGGCTTATTACGAGGCACAAGCTTATGACAGGTACCATACAAATTATTTATGGTGAATCTATCGAACAATATTACCATGACAACCATAATCACCAGACAAACGATGTTTAACACTACGAAAATATTCTACCATGAAGAATTTTATAACCATTTTTATGTCTTCTTTGTGAATTTGTCTTGTCAGCACTCTGTATATACCAGTTCTAGGTGTCCATTTACATGTGTGGTGCTACATTTAACCACAGGGCCCTGTAAATATCCTTCTGGGGTTTGAAGGCTTGTACGGTGTATAACAAGTAAAGGTGACCAAATACCAGAGAAATTCATCGCCCTCAGAAATGTCACCATTGTTCAAATTTTTTTTTTTTACATCTATGGTACTAAAATGATCACAAATTAATTACCTGCAAACATGACTTAAAACACAAAAGACTCAATTTACACACCTTTCACTCTCTGTGCATGTGAAACAAGACCTGTGAATACCCTGGTGTAGTTTTGTCCGTCGCCTGATATCCAGGTCAATAACGGCCGGTATCAAGTGAAAATGCCGTTGGCATGTATTGAATTCATTTTCAGGTGACATTTTTTGGTGTCATATACACCTATACAAACTCCAAACCACATGTCAAGTATCCAGTAAACAAAAATCTTGGAAAACAGACTTTGTGTAGTACTTCATTCAAATCAATTGTCATTGTTATTGGCATCAAATTAGAACAGAGCAATTTTATCTTAAAGGGATATTTTTGATTGGTCGATTTTAGCTATTGCCGAATTAACTTACAAACAGCACACCTGATACCAGTATACTTTACACCCCAGCTCACTCTACTCGATACAAACTTTGATCTACACAAAGAAAGCACACCTGATACCAGTATACTTTACACCTCAGCTCACTCAACTCGATACAAACTTTGATCTACACAAAGAAAGCACACCTGATACCAGTATACTTTACACCTCAGCTCACTCAACTCGATACAAACTTTGATCTACACAAAGAAAGCACACCTGATACCAGTATACTTTACACCTCAGCTCACTCAACTCGATACAAACTTTGATCTACACAAAAAAACACCTGATACCAGTTTACTTTACATCCGAGCTCACTCTACTTGATACAAACTTTGATCTACACATAGAAAACACACCTGATACCAGTTACTTTACACCCCAGCTCACTCTACTTGATACAAACTTTGATCTACACATAGAAAACACACCTGATACCAGTTACTTTACACCCCAGCTCACTCTACTTGATACAAACTTTGATCTACACATAGAAAACACACCTGATACCAGTTACTTTACACCCCAGCTCACTCAACTTTGTTATGGGGGTAACCAATTAAAGAATATGACAATCTTCTACAAGCATGAAAATGACAAGACAGAATCGTGACAGAACCAGCATGAATGCACTACTTACAGCAAGTAAGTGGTGAGATCTTATATTGATTGTAACCCAGGAAGACAATATTACACCCTGATAGTTTGTTTCTGAAAGCCATTTTATTTTGCTCACAAATTATGCTTATTTAGTGTTATGATTGGGAAGAATTAACCACAAATCTTATTGGCATTTGACTTTTAATTGGTGTTTTAGAAAAACAAATGTGAATGATTTGAAACCTGAGAAGTTTTTTTTAGCTATCTCCATGGTTACGAAAAAAATACAATAATCTAATGTCAAATCTTCTGATGTATCAAAATTCATGTGATCCAAATTTCTGATCATGTATTTATGGTAATGCTTTCAAATTCAATACTATAAACAACTGATTTATTAAAATGTTTCAAATTAAAATCTTTTGACTTTTACAAGGTATATGATCAGGTGAGAAAAATATTACACAATACAATGAGACTAATTTACTTAATAAATTTCTCCCTAACAGAAGACAAAGTTAAAAGTGAAAATTCATCTGACAACAGAAAATGAGAAACTGTATTCACTGCTTATTGAAAAATATTCAGAGCAGGTACTTGTACACAGCGCCATCTATAATGCAGAGTGAGCCATTATGATGGTGAAAGTATTGAGCAAAAGAATAAAACAAACAGAACAGTGTTCAGGAGGTGCTGCTAATGTTGACTGTGTGAGGGCATGATTACAATTATAACACTCCACATCCCTTTTTTATATCGCAGAGCAAACAAATCCAAGAGACAACTACAACTAATTGCTGGAAAACCATTTACAGGCCTGATTACTGTATCTCATTTCATTATTCAATAATACTCTTCTAGTCTTGTAATCTCATTGACATTGCCCCTAGAGATCATCTACAGGTTTTGTTTATTTTTTTTCATCCTTTTCAAATAAAAGACTTGACATTGCACCTCCCCCCCCCCCCCAAGTTCTTTTAAATATTTTTCCTTTTTTTAATCAACAAAAAGAAACATCACTATCCAACATCAAATCCTGCCAAAAAGTCAAACCAATTGTAAAAACCACAAACATATTTACCAATTCAACTATTTCAACATTACTAGAATTCTAATATTTGTGAAACTGCATCACATAACTTAAATATTCATCAATTATTCTATGATATATATTCAGACCAGATCAGCTGGATTACCGGTCATGTTTAAACATTCATTATCATTGTTTTACAGGCGAGACAATATAAATCCACATGGAAAGCAATATTGATATAAACCATAGCTGCTGGAAGAACTAGTCATCAAATCCAGGTGATCATTTTTATCATTGAACAATATCATCATTTCAGGTAAAATGCAATATGAGTTTCATCTGGATTAACCAGACTAGACATAAATGATTGGAATTTTCACTTAGCTGACATGGTTCACCCTGATCTATCATCATTTCAGTAGTATTAATGACATTGAAAAATACAACCATCGGAGTCAACTGATTAATAATTATCCTTTATGGCCTTGAAAGACAAAATTCAGGTCAAAAACAGTTAAAGTTGAATAACTTCATTTGTTAGCATACCTGTTAAGTCACCCAATTTGTGCGGTCAAACAGGAAAATTTATAATTTTGAAAAAAATCAACCTCTAGAAAGACAATGCCCCAAGTGGACCAGTTTTTTCACTTCATCTTTAGTTTACATCTGAGAAAGTGAAAAATTCTTATAATACACCAAAAATTTACAGTTTCAGTGACTGGTATTGCCAATAAGGATCATGGCAAGCTGTCCGAAACTGAACACAAAAGAGGGGTGAATCACATGTAATCGGCCTCACCCCTTAGGACATGTGGGTAGCCAACAGTCTATTACTAATTAGTCAATCACTATTGACAGAGTCCATTACTTCAAAAACACTGGTTATAGCTGTCATTCATTTATTTAATATCACAGCTGTCAGCTTGATCTGACCACCATCTTGGTTAAGTAATACGAAAGCCGGAAAGTGGAAGGAAAAATCAGGATTTTAGCATACGTCATTAAGAATGAAAAAAAAATTAAAATATGTCTTAATACCAATAAACCAATAAATAGGAAAACATAATTTCATAAGAAATGAATGAGAAATTCGACAAAAATAAAAGACTCCTTTTTTAATTAATTAATTAGATGAAGTTTCTTGAAAAAACAACTTTTAAATGGCATAAACATCTCAATTTGTAATATTGAATATAATTTCATTAAGCTGTTTTCAATTACAAATTATTGTTTTTAATTTCTCATTTGGTTTTTTTCATTTTGGTCTTTATTTGATCAAACTATTATGATACTTCATATATTGAATGTAAACCAAACCTATCATTTTCTACATGTATTAGTTAATGGGTTTGAACTAAATAACATTTTTGGGAAAGCTCTGTACATGCTTAGTTAAGAACAGTTTTAAAAAGCCATAATTAAATCTATTTATTTCTCTGAACTCAAACTACACTACTTTGTACTAGTATGCAAAAGTACTTGAATGCATGAACTACATTATGTTATTTCATTTACCATCTCTTTTAATATAAAATTAGAATTAAAGGATAACAAAGGCTGTAACAATAGGCTGAAATTGTGACTGTTACATTGCAAATGTATAAAAGTTATCAGACTGAAAACAGAATGTTATTTTTTTTTTCTTCTTTTATTTATTTTGTTATTTTAATAGGAATTTCTTCACAAAATATTGTACATACGTTATGACTAGTTTTGGAGTGACCATCAAACTGGTTATCATTAGATCCTTGACAGGTATAAAAGTGATATCAATATAACACAACATATATAGACTTCATTTATTTAGGGACACCTTTCAGTTTTACCTGAGAGTGATCCATCAACTTAATGATCAATGATGAAATTGAACTGTACAGACTTCTCTGTATAGCTGACTATACATCTACCAGACTATTACTGAATATACGAGTGAATTATTTTTGTTGACAGTGGAAAATTTATCGATGGATAATAATACGAATCACAAAATTACATACCGGTGTTGTCAACGTCAACTCAGCGCCCCCACTGGTACCCCGGTCGGACGTCATGAGGGCAGCCGAGTTTTCTTCTAAATTTGCCGTCAGCTCCACCTGTTAAACAGAGACAAACATTTTCAAAATACAATAGAAAATAAATTCTAAACAAAAACAATTATGAGCAATGACGCAATCTGTCCTCATGGTACCATGAAGTTACTCCTCTTTCACCTTTTTTTTATTTAGTATTGAAAGGGCCCTGTACATACCATGTTCCTCCTGAATCCTAGCAGATGAACTATATATAACAAACTTGAAATTCTTCAAGATTATTGCCGATTGAAAGATCTTTTGATTTAGTTCATGTGATCAACGTAATTGAATCCTGTTGAAAACATGAAGACACATGGAACATTCCAGTAGATACCCGAGTTAATGCAATTATAATAACACCATCCTCCACCTCTACTTTTCTGCTTCCTTCATTTAAAAGTTGTGTACTTCTTAAAATATCCACCATATCAGTGATGGAATCACTTAAAATCTATAATTTATTAGCAGTTAAAAAATGGATAGGTTTTTCAATTTAGTTAATCAATTGAATAATCGACTATGTTCAATATATTCAAAGAAAGTGAATTCAATTTCTGTGGCATTAACATTTTCTTTTTTAAAACTAACCTAAAATGCCTCAATTCTAGAATTTAAAAAAGAATGAATATTGGCAATTAGTATATTTATCATGAATAATATGAATTTTGATTTTACTAAAACACAAGAAAATACTAAGGTACCGATGGCAAATTATGAAAAACTACAAATGATATTGCATCAGATGAGGTTAAAACAATTAGATAATTGATTATATCTGATTATCATCCCGTCATTAAGCACCTCCAGCTCAGGTCATTTAGTCAGTGAGTATAAGACTATTATACACTAGTGCAATGAAATAGAATTTTTTGTATTACCGATTCTACTGAATGGTGATCGAGATGAGTGGGCTTATTACCAGACATAACGTTATTGTTAAATATGATATGTTCTTTATAATCTGATTTATTGAATTACACATGTACCCACCAAAATCCTCAAAATAGAACTCCACAGAATTTTCTGATTATGCAGTAGTATACAATTTTTAACTGGTTACTTGGTGCTTGGAGGAAGCAGCTGTAACACATTCACATTTCCCATATTGGTTTGAACACAAGCATATGTGAGAAAGGTATGGGTGTCACCTGTCTAACTACGTGGAAACCTACAGTTCCTCCCAAAGCAAGAACTCTCCTGTACTCGAGGTCAACAATAATGTTTATAGTAGCTGCAAGGTAGTTTCGTCATTGCTGTACAATAAATATTATCATCATTCAACGTACAGCTGTATCTTTTGAGGTTATCATCTAACCTTGGTCTATGCCTTTGTAAATTGGGGAAATATGATTTTCTTAAACATTGGAAAAATTATATATTTTCCTCCTTTAGGGAAAATTAAAAATTTTAGGCTTCAGGAAGCAGTCTGTTTTTGACTGCAAGATAGGACAAAATAATTATTTAATATCCATTTAAATTTGTCTTCACAACCTATACTGGGAATTTAGTAGATCTTTGGATTTCCATGAGTGTTGAGCAAAGTCTGAAGGGACATGTCTGTTCCCCATGTTTTCTGACCCTTAAGATTTGTGATTTATAAAATGTTATCGGAGAAATGAATGTCTTGCTATTTCTTACAATTAAATCTAAGCGTCCCAGACAGAGTACTGACAAATCATTGATTCATCAATAACATTGTACATAAAGGTTATTATTACGTCAACAGTAAATTCAATCCCTGGTCCTAACTTGACCTCTGTAGTGTGTGGTCAGTACTCCTGGCTGCTTTAATCCCATAGATCATCACAAACCACTCACAGTAATGTTATTGAGGAGCCTTTAACCCTTGGAGGACATATGGATCCACTCTGATCCACAATCAGGATCAGTCCAATACAGATGAATGGGTTAACCAGCTTTGTTGCCTTGTGAAAATCAATACTAATGAATGCCTCACTTGCCTCATGCATGTATTACATGGACCTTCAAAACAACCGACTGACATGTAATGGGAGGTAACTCCTTACAAATCAAACACCAAATCCATCGTTTTTTCTCTGGTACAAGAAATAGAAAATGAAGAAGTAAACAGTGTAAAGTTGTTGCTGGTTTACTGTCATGCTTGAATCACAGCAGAATGATAAATGACACAGGTATTATACCATCAGAACAAGGATATAAACCATCGCTTCATTAAGGGTTGGCAATAGGTCATAGCTTTACCTTTTATTTCTAAGAATCTTTCTTTTTTTTTTTAATTTTAAAATCTTTTCATCCTTTTTCTTCCAAATGAAAGAGATTATCCTGAACAAAAATCAATTGTAAAAAAAAATTGCTGACACCAATTATTTTAAAAGATCATACAAGTATTATCATTGCAAGGTAGGCAGGTTGCCTGAACTACCACATGGTCCTTTACAAACTTACTTTTGTTGTACTGATGTCTAAAACTGATAGTAAAGTCATATGTCAAAGGTCAAAATATAGGTGAACCATAATCCCAAGTATGAAGTTCCCATGATAAGTAGTGTGTTAAGTTGTGACTTGTGTAGAAAATAGGACCTATACATAAGAGCAAAAGGAAGGAAGAATGAATATACAATGCAAAGCTCCCATCCACTTCCTGGTGGGGGACTACAGTGTGCTTTTAACTTTTATGTTTCATGATATCCTGGTTGCTACTTAGAGTAAAGAGCATTAATCTAGATAGAGCTACCACATGGTTGTTTATAAGCATATTTTTACTGTAATTGTCTAAAACTGATAAAAGTGACATCCCAGTTTTATCATAGTCAGGTAAGGACACGTACATCTAAATTAAAACTGCCACATGTTTTGTTCACATGTGCTTTGTATTCAATGGTTCTGTTTTACACAAGACAACTATAATTTGTCTATAAAGCAAGACATTCAGCCCCAATCAGGTTTCATTTCAGGTGAGATAGAATACATACTAACATCTACCACTTACTTGTAGATCTTCCTAGAAGGAACACATTACAAAGTGCTCTAGGCTAATTACATAGTTATATCCTGGTAAATTTAGCTTAACGGATAACTTAAAGGAGTGTTTACTTCATTTCTGGTGAGCTGATCAATCATGGCTAACAAGCTGAATATGCTGAATTATATTAGGTACAGTATTCTACAGGTAACCTAAACATCTAAACTACTACCTGTTATACAGGTAACCTACATATCTATACCACTACCTGTTATACAGGTAACCTACCTATCTATACCACTACCTGTTATACAGGTAACCTACATATCTATACCACTACCTGTTATACAGGTAACCTACCTATCTATACCACTACCTGTTATACAGGTAACCTACCTATCTATACCACTACCTGTTATACAGGTAACCTACCTATCTATACCACTACCTGTTATACAGGTAACCTACCTATCTATACCACTACCTGTTATACAGGTAACCTACCTATCTATACCACTACCTGTTATACAGGTAACCTACCTATCTATACCACTACCTGTTATACAGGTAACCTACCTATCTATACCACTACCTCTTATACAGGTAACCTACATATCTATACCACTACCTCTTATACAGGTAACCTACATATCTATACCACTACCTCTTATACAGGTAACCTACATATCTATACCACTACCTGTTATACAGGTAACCTACCTATCTATACCACTACCTGTTATACAGGTAACCTACCTATCTATACCACTACCTGTTATACAGGTAACCTACCTATCTATACCACTACCTGTTATACAGGTAACCTACCTATCTATACCACTACCTGTTATACAGGTAACCTACCTATCTATACCACTACCTGTTATACAGGTAACCTACCTATCTATACCACTACCTGTTATACAGGTAACCTACCTATCTATACCACTACCTGTTATACAGGTAACCTACATATCTATACCACTATACAGGTAACCTACATAACTATACCACTACCTGTTATACAGGTAACCTACATATCTATACCTTTAACTAGTATACAGATAATCTATTTTGCTTTAGCCTAGTAAGTTTCGGAGTAAACCCAGGCTGCTATGCAGCTCTTGGCTTATGTAGACTTCAAATGTTTCAATAACAAATAAATAGGTAACTACTGTTTTTATCCAGCTTTTATAGCCATTGCCTCATTGTAAGCCGGCCCAAATTTGAAAACTCTTCTTAGAAATAACAATAACAATCTTTAACTGTCAATTCCAAGATGGCTGATTGGGATTTAGGGAAGCCTTCCCAAAAAATTTGAGAAAGTTAATCCAATAATTTAAGAAATAGTGATAACAAACTGTCATTGACAAAATCTAAGATGGCTACCTGTAAACCATTTTGTTTTAGAGTCAAAAGGACAACAAGGGATTATGGGGACCCTATTTGAAATTTGAGAACAATTCATCTACTTCTTAAGAAATAAGAAATAGCATTAATGTGAGGGTGATTTGAATTCCCCATCATTAAGGAATATAAATTTACTGACAATTAAAATGTGCCACTTATTAGGAAACATAAGGACAACGGAAAAATGCTACATCTATTTAAGCACACATCAATAATGCAACATAACCGACAGTGCAGGTGAACAGATCGTAAGTGATCTTAGTGCTAGGAGTAAGATGCAGTTACACATGTGTAATACAGGTACACATGTGTAATACAGCACTCTACCTGTGTGTGTACAGGTCAGCTATATGCTGATGCAACTCCACATTTTACTGTTCACATCTATTTATAAATCTCTGCCTCTGGCACAGATATTTTTAGCACCAGCCTATTGTTGTTCACTCAGGAGGCAATAAACAAGAGGGACATGAGGGGAACTCAGAAAGGTAAATAAACATTCCGAAAGAAACACATGTTGGAGACAACAATGTAGGAAATGTACAATCATACACCATACATTTCAACCATATCATTAAGGTCCCTGTAAACTGATTTCAGTAGAAAGTAAGAATTTTGATGCACTTCGACAATCATAATTTTACATAGGGATGCATTTTTATTAAGA